TTTTTTTTTTTTTTTTTTTTTTTTTTTTTTTTTTTTTTTTTTTTTTTTTTTTTTTTTTGAGTACACAAATAAAGGAAGTAATGAAAAATATGTAAGATAAGGTTACTTTATATTTTAATCTTTGGAGTTTTATGGTTAGTTTGGTAACATATTTTTATAACTATTCTTATTTCTTATTTGTCCATGTTAAAGTTTCAATTAGATACGTAATTGACATCTCGTACTCCATTCAATTCATCTTAAATTATGTTGGTTAATATGAGTCTGTTCATAGAGACTATTTTATAAAATGTTTGATAATCTTTATAAATTTTCAACGATAGTTAATTTATCACGCATGATATTGATATATATTTTTATGTCAACCTGATAATGAGACGTTTATTTAAAGTTATATAATCGAGCAAACTCATAAAGGATATTCGTGTGGGTTTGATGTATACATATTAGTAATTAAGATTTGTGTTTGTTTTAGATTATTGTGTTCAATGTATACACATTGAATATTCTTTGTTTGCGAACACGTTTTTTGGAAAAAGCATACACGCAATGTTGCATTTCCTCGAATTAAGGGAGTGAACGGTGAGCACTCCAAGTATTATAAGAAAATGAGACGTTTATTTAAAGTTAATGAGACGTTTATTTAAAGTTATATAATCGAGCAAACTCATAAAGGATATTGATATATATTTTTATGTCAATCTGATAATGGGACGTTTATTTAAAGTTATATAATCGAGCAAACTTATAAAGGATATTTGTGTGGGTTTGATGTATACATATTAGTAATTAAGATTTGTGTTTGTTTTAGATTATTGTGTTCAATGTATACACATTGAATATTCTTTGTTTGCGAACACGTTTTTTTTGGAAAAAGCATACACGCAATGTTGCATTTCCTCGAATTAAGGGAGTGAACGGTGAGCACTCCAAGTATTATAAGAAAATTTAGGTTAACTTGGGATATAAATTTTATTTTCGATACAATAAAAAGAGTTTGTTTAGAGTTTTGGTGTTTCTTATTGGGATCTAAATTTTATTTTCGATACTATAAAAAGAGTGAACTTACTTTGGACTTTAACTTTTATAGTTTTTTATATTTAATTTTTTAAACGAAAAAAATGTGTGAATAAATAAAAATAACAGACATCCACATTGGTATGATATTTACTTTCAATTTAAAACATTTCAGTTTCTTAGTGTCAAACATGGTAGAGAAATTCATGGTTACGTAGTAAGCAGGACATGTAGTTTGAATGTGTTTTGGAAAAGTTCTTTGACTTGATATATACTTCAAATGCAAGGACGTGGTAAGGTCAAATTGATATTGCAGCACGCACAACATTGATTTCAAGATACACGCTTAATGGGATAAACACATGTAGAGAGAATGAAGCCAATGTATGTGACTTTTCCAGAACACATAAATTGGAAATGTTTAACTTGATATATTGCAGTTTGAATGTGTTTTGGAAAAGTTCTTTAACTTGATATATACTTCAAATGCAAGGACGTGGAAAGGTCAAATTGATATTGCAGCACGCACAACATTGATTTCAAGATACACGCTTAATGGGATAAACACATGCAGAGAGAATGAAGCCAATTTATTTGACTTTTGCAGTATCTTTCTAGCAAAATTGACGCTGTCGACTCCGGTTGTTCCAAGTCGTCAACTCGTGAAAGTGGTTGTCTTCAACATGATGGCTTCTATTCGGCCAAACTTTGCCCTTTTAGCTAATTTTACCCGTTTTGGATTGCCCAAAAGTATTTTCGATCTAATGAAGGCGGAAAAATTCAACATAAACTATTGTTCTTGTAATATTTGATATTTATGATTGTTATAAGTAATTAAGTTCTATTAACTCCATGATTAGATTTTAAGCTCAGTTTTCTCAGTTGATGAGATAAAATAGGTGAAATCGAACTACATGAAGCTGAAACTAGAAATTTTCGTCAAAAGTAAGCTTAAAAACCCAAGTTGAATATGTTTTGTGTTTTGTGATTGTTTGACATGCATTATGTTATGTTCATGCTATGTTATAATTTATATCATGAGACTATTATGTTATGGATCTTTTTGTGAACTCAATGTTGCATCATGCATAAAACCTCTACACGTTGATAAGAATTACGGTGTTCCAAATGGACCTATTGCCAACAAGATTCAAAAAATGTCATGAAGATTCAAAAAAATATGTCAAAAATGTCATGAAGATTCAAAAAAATGTCACCAACATAATTTGACCCTACGCGCGGAGAGGTGACATAATTTGAACCTACGCGCCGAGAGCTCAACTGATTTCAAACCTGTCGGGTTAGCCACTCAAACACATTAATATTTGTTAAAAAAAAATTACGTTTAAATTCATAAATTATGTAAAAGTCTAATGGTCAAGTTGACTTATTCTTTATGGAGATTAAAGGGGATCGGGAATAAATCCCATCCACAAACATCTCGAATAAATTCCGTCCACAAACGTCTTTTGTCGGGAGACTATAAATACCCACAATATGTTATGTAAAAAGCACATTGGTGGATGAATGTAATTCAGATTCAAATTGAGACGTTTCCCTTAGAAATCCGAGCATCATATTTGCCATTTCTAAGTTTCAAGAAATTCTTGTGGTAAAATTGCACCCGAGCCATTCAATCAAGTCTCGATCAAGTTCGATTGTGGAGTGACTCAATTTAGAACAAGGTTTCCAAATCTTGCTTCTAGATCTTCGATCATAAGAGGTAATCTAATTCTAGCCTTGTCTCTTGGTTGATCCAAATTTCGTATAAGGAGGTGTTATTTACTTTGATTCAAGGGTTCTTGCTTCAATAAAAGCTTGGATCGTTGGGCTGAGGATTAGGGTTGTCTTATCAATTTGGTATCAGAGCCTAAGCTTACA